ATTCTATTCTATTCTATTCTATTCTATTCTATTCTATTCTATTCTATATTCTGTTCTGTCCATTGTATTCCATTCCATTCTTTCTTTTCTATTCTATTTTCTGTTCCATTCCTTTTACACAACAGTATTTTGTGATTTTGTGCTTCAAATGAAAAAAAGATACTTTGATTTCGGGAGGGGGGTTAACTAGAGAGGCTTATTGTTATAGAAATGGCTTGTTCATCGGGATTTTGGTCACACGACCATGGGGACGCTACAAAGGTCATAACTCTGAAAAGTGGACGCAAGTCGCTTTCTTCCGTGCCATTCTAACTTGGAACGGTCACTAAACAGACTGTTTACTGACCGTTTAACAGACTGTTTAGTCCCGTGATGGTGAACCTATGGCACGCGTGCCACAGGTGGCACACAGAGCCATTTGTGGGGCACGTGAGCCCCAGGCAAACTTACTTCACTGCACATGCACACAGCCTCCCAGCTGGTTTTTCGGGCCTTTTCCGGCCTGCCAAAGGCTTAAGGGAAGCCTCTGCAGGTTTTGCAGGCCGAAAAATAGGCCCGTTTCACCACTTCCTGTATTTTCCGTAATATCCGAAGCGACAAAACAGGCCCATTTTTCAGCCTGCAAAGGCTTCCCTCAAACCTCTGGCAGGCTGAAAAAGGCCTCAAACAGGTGGAAAACCAGCAGGGAGGCGCAGTGCAGGTAAGGGGGGGGGGGGGGGGGGTAGAATTGCACGCGCATGCACAGGAGGCAGTGTGTGCATTGCTTTCTGGGTGCTGGCATGCGAGCGCAAGCACATAACGCAATTTTTGGCACAGGAGCCCCAAAAGGTTAGCCGCTGCTGGTTTAGTCGAGGACTATCTGCATAGGTTTGGAAACAGGCGGAAGCGGCCTTCATCCTGGTTGGATAGACAATGGCTTATCTTAAAAGGATGAAATTCAGAATAGGCCATGTGAGGACACCAAGTCAGACGGCTGTGTTTGCAAAGCGAGGGCCTGATCTGTAACTCAGGGACAAAGGATGTGTGTTTCTGTGCAAACAACTCCCCCAGTGGGGTTTCCACCTAACTTAAGAGTTGTGTCATTACTGGGGGAGCCTCAATTTTCCAGTGGGAGAGCTCAAGGCCGTCCCAGCAGCTTTCCCAGGCGTGTTTACTCTGCATCAATGAGTAACTGGGACAGTAAGGTGATAGTACATAACAGCCACATGACGTCTCAAGGCCCCCGGGGTGTTTTGATCCCTTACTTCAAAGCTACCATATTTTCCAGAGTGTAAGATACACTTTTTCCACCCCCCCAAAAGTGACTCTTATACAGGGAATGTTGCCGAAACCCTGTCCACCCGCCGGTCCCCACCGTTCGGCCTCTGCCTCGCAGCCGTTGGCCTCCTTGCAGCAAACAGCCTGTTCTGCCTGGTCTTACAAGTTTGCACCAACAAATCCTCGGAAACCCCGAATGGTCCTTCACTGTAAATGTGCTGCTATAGATGAGCCGAACTGAGTCTTCTCCCATAGAAAACTTTGGATTCAAAGCCAAATAGACGCTTCCAAATATTTGCGTGTGGGTTGTTGCGTAGCACCTGCCCACAACTTCTTAAAGCAGCTGTGTCTTTTCCTGGAATTGCGTAAATGCCCACTACAATTAGGACTGCAGAAAAAAAAACAATGGCTACTAACCTGCCTTCCATGGAGGACCTGTATCCTGCACGAGTCAAAAAGAGGGCTGTGAAAATATCTACAGACCCCTCACATCCCGGACATAAACTGTTTCAACTCCCACCCTCAAAACGACGCTATAGAGCCCTACACACCAGAACAACTAGACACCAGGACAGTTTTTCCTCCAGTGCCATCACTCTGCTAAACAACTAATTCCCTCAATACTGTCCAACTATTTACAAAGTCTGCATTACTATTACTATTAATCTTCTCATCACTCCTTATCACCCATCCCCTCCTACTTGCAACTCCTACCCTCAAAACGACGCTATAGAGCACTGCACACCAGAACAACTAGACACAAGGACAGTTTTTCCCCCAGTGCCATCACTCTGCTAAACAACTAATTCCCTCAATACTGTCCAACTATTTACAAAGTCTGCATTTCTATTACTATTAATCTTCTCATCACTCCTTATCGCCCATCCCCTCCCACTTGGGACTGTATGACTGTAACTTTGTGGCTTGTCTCCTTACGATTTATATTGACTGTTTCCTAGTATGATTTGATTGCTTATTGTACCCTCTGACTATCATTAAGTGTTGTACCTTATGATTCTTGACTCTTGACGGATGTATCTTTTCTTTTACGTACACTGAGAGCATTTGCACCAAGACAAATTCCTTGTGTGTCCAATCACACTTGGCCAATAAAGAATTCTACAATTGTAGCACAGTCCCAGGAAGAAAAAAATGCATTTGGGTTACGGACTTGCCAAAAATGGATATGAAATCGCCCTCACTTCCTCTTACTCCAAAGCACCATAAATCCAAAGGCCTGCACAATCCTGCCAGATGTAAAATTATACAGCAATAGCACCTAGGTTTATATACCGCTTCACAGTGCTTTTACAAAGCCTCTCTAAGCAGTTTACAGAGTCAGCCTCTTGCCCCCAACAATCTGGGTCCTCATTTTACTGACCTCGGAAGAATGGAAAGCTGAGTCAACCTTGAGCAGGTCAGAATCAAACCCCAGACTCTGGGCAGAGTCAGTCTGCAATACAGCATTCTAACCACTGCATCGCCACTGGTCTGGAAATACGACTTCAGCAATAGAGTGGTCAATGTCTGGAATACTCTACCCGACTCTGTAGTTTCTTCCCCAAACCCCAAAAACTTTAACCTTAGACTGTCTACTATTGACCTCACCCCTTTCCTAAGAGGTCTGTAGGGGGCGTGCATAAGCGCACCAACGTGCCTACCGTCCCTGTCCTATTGTTTCTCTTATTCTTTTATTTTTCTTATATGTACCCATTTCATGTATTCACAACTATGTATACATTTATACTTATTATCTTGTAAACAATTGGCAAATCAAATAAATAAATAAATAAATAAAAATAAATAATTGTTTCTTTGGGTGGTTTTTAATGCAAAATCCGCATCCATGTCTGTCTACGCTTGTCTTTTTTTAAAGCTTTATTTTATTTGAAAGCTGAGCATCGTGCCAATTCTTAAAAAAAAAAAACTGTCTTTTTGTGGTCCATGCCATAAATATCTCCCAATATAAATCAATGGCAGGTGGGTGAAAAGGATGTATTTATTGTAAGAAAGTTTTCGTTATTCTTGTTTAATGAGATGTTTCTTTCTTTTTTTTCCTTTCAGGAAATGCCCAACTCTGTCTTTCTTGTAATGGAGGTATGTATATTTATGATTTGAATTTCTTCGTGACTGAATTTGAGTTATTTTTCCTTTTGTCTTACTCAAGTCTCCCCAGCCTCCCTCAAACCCTATAAGGATCCCCTGAATTGTCCAAAAATTAGTAGATATGTACACTACCAAAGAAAATCCACCCCAAAATATTTTTGATCCACCAGTTTTGGGTTCTAATGCAGCGTTATGTGATTTATGCTATAATATACGTGGGTCAATATTTGATGTTCTGTACTTACAGAAGCAATTATTAAAAATCCTTCTTTTTTTTTCCCATTCACCCATACATTGCCTTGCAAAACATAGTACAGCCAGGGTAATGCATTACCAATTAAAGATAATTTTCAGGGTGGAACTGTGGGGTCCTTGGTGCTCTCTTGAACTTGGTTGTTTTCTCGCTGGCGTTTCATTACCCAGCTAGGTAGCTTCATCAGTGCTAGAAGGGAAGGGGTTTCGTCTCTGCTTATATACAAATGACTTGCCCTGTAAGTGTTAGTGGGAGTGTTCTTGATGGGTTTCTTGATTAGACTTTTGTTTATTGTTTGTCTGAGTTGGTGATTCCTTGACTGGAGTATTGTTTACAATAAACATTGTTTATTTAGACCAAAACACCACCTCCCGCCATCAATACCCAGGGAAGGAGAAATTAACACCAAGATTTACACTACACCAACAGCCAGCCCTGAAACAACACCTCAATTAAGGAAATACCAACTGAAACAAACAACCAGACGTTTGATAACCCAACTAGGTAACGTTATCAGGACTAGAAAGGAGTGGGGTTTGCTCTCTGTTTATATACAGTACAAGTGGCTTGCCTGTCAATGCAATACCCCAATCAAGGAACTATAAGCAAGCTTAACAGTAAACCACAGCCTAATCAAGCAACCACCAAGAATATACCCAACAGCACTGAGCAATTATAAACAGGGAGCAAACCCCACTCCCTCCTCACGCTGTTGATATTACTTAGCTGGGCAATGAAACTTCTGCAAGGGGGCGGGGTGGGTGGGGAAACCCAGCTCAGAGAGCATCAAAGACCCCGCAGAAGAAATGTGTGCCTGTGGATTAAGGGGAGGGGGACAGCGTGTCATGCCAGAATTTAGAGAAAAGGTGAGATAAGCTTTATTGTCATGTTTCCTATGTACAGAATGACACACGTTAAAATGAGATTCTGATGCCTGCTCTCGAATGAATGAATGAATATGTGTCTGTCTGTCTGTCTGTCTACCTAGTTAGTTCTATACCCATGCCCTACATGTGGTAGGGCTTAGTTTTTGAGGAGGAAAATAAGGAGAAGAAATTCTGCCTCTGCCTACCAGCATCCATCAGTATTCATCTGGCTAGCGTCTTGTCAGTGTGTGAGAGAGTTGGGGACTTTTTGGAAACTGAAAGAGTATTTGCTGTGTGAGCAAGAAGGAGACAGCAAGGAGCCTGGGCATGGCTTAGCTCAACTGTTCTGTACTAAAGCTGTGAAAGTAAAACTGAAACTGAACCTCCTCTCCTCTGCTTGTGTTTTGCATTTGGAAGAGATTTCTTTTCAGGTGGGGAGGGGGAGTAGAACTCCTTAGCATCAGAGCGTGTTGTTAATAATAATAATAATAATAATAATAATAATAATAATAATAATAATAATAATAATAATAATAATAGCTCTGATGGTCATTTGGAAAAATCCTTTCTTAGTGAGCATCTGGAACCCAAGAGGAACATACGTGCAGGAGTGGGATTCATTTTTTTTAACAACCGGTTCTGTGGGCATGGCTTAGTTGGTGGGCATGGCTTGGTGGTTATGTGACTGACTGGGCGTGGCCCACTCAACATCACTCACATTGAGGCACGCATCTCCTCGCCTGGCCTCTCATGACTGTGGGGATGCTGCACCAGTCGTAAGTGTGAAAAACAGTCATAAGTCACTTTTTTCAGTGCCATTGTAACTTTGAATGGTCACTCCACACAAGCAAAGTACCAGCAAAGGAGGGGAAAAAAACTCCAGAGAAGTTCCTGAGACAGGAAGTCTAGTCCTGCCAAGAATGTAATAAGGGTTAACGGAGAGGCAGTTTCTGTAAGCGACACCAGAATGTTTCCTTCCTGCCTTCCTTACAGGATTAGGCCAGTCATTTCTTCTAACAACCGGTTCTCTGAACTGCTTAGAATGTTAACAACCGGTTCTAGAGAATAGGTGCAAACCTGTAGAATCCCACCCCTGCATATGTGCCAAATTTCCAAGTTTGTAGGCTTTACGGTTCTGGAGAGTTTGTGCATGAGTGGTATTTCGCTTTTAGATAGGTAGGTAGGTAGGTAGGTAGATTGATTGATAGATAGATAGATAGATAGATAGATAGATAGATAGATAGATAGATAGATAGATAGATAGATGATAGATAGATAGATAGATAGATAGATAGATAGATAGATAGATAGATAGATGAAGGGAGGGAGAGAGAATGTGTGTGTGTATGTGTGTATCTGTGTGTATGAGTAAAAACAGGAAATAAGGAGTAAGGGTCCAACTAGCAATAGCCCAAGAAAGAGAATCTTCAAGGGTTAAATAACCCAGGAAAGAAAATCAGGGCTTTTATCCTGCTGTTCCATTTTTAAAACTCTGCACATGTGGCAGCTTTATTAAATTTCAGCCCTTGGAGAAGATAGCTCTCTTTTTAAGCTTGTCATCAGTATCGGCCAATTGAGCTGGCGCAGTGCGGTGCATTGCAAAATTGTGTATATACAGGTGACCGTTGGGTGCATTCAGATGCACCAGGCAAAAGGAATTCATTGGGTTTGCTTTGGGGTGTGGATGTTAGCTAGTTGCGGGGGTGGGGGGGGGGTCCACTTGGCAATCACGCACATTTTTACAGAATTATTTCCACTTTTCCTAATTATTTCAGGCTTAGAAGTCCAACTGAGCCAATTAGCTATTATCCAGGCCTAAAATAAACCTTATATCTTCTTCTTTTTTGGAGGTGGGGTGGTGGCTTATTGTTGAACCTGTTTTTCTTTCTCCTTTACAAAGAGGAACACTTTCTAAGTCCTGTCAATTCACCAAGTGATAAATATAGTTTCTGTGTGTGGCTCAGTTACGTCTCCCGGTCAGTCCATAACCCAAGTGACTCTTTCTGGCAACTAAACAGCTAATCTGCTGATTTCTCTCTACCTATTAAACATTTGGCGAGTTCCGTTAAATAAAAGCATCGAAATATTTATAATTTTCTCCACACTTGTATCTGCAGTGGGGTGAACAATCGTGCAAACAAACAAAACAAAAAATGCACGCAGCGTTTCCATTGGCAAATGCTTCTGCTTTCCCCTGGATTGTGAAATCACGAACTGTGAGATGTCACACTGCAGTCCCATAGCCTGGAGAAGCAGCCACACACGTGTCAACCCCCCGACACGCAAATGTGGCCCGTTCTCTTCTTTAATTTCCAGAGTCTCTGCCATTTTGCTGCGTTATGTCTGGGGTTAGAAGAACCATGGTTTATATTTAAGGTTACACATTCATGTAATATGCGGTGCTGGGAGTGACCAAAACTTCCCCTTTAGTTCAATCTGAAAATTGAAGTCAAGAGAAAGAGCTTTGCGCAAGCAAGGAAACCAGTCTGGGGACTTTGGATTTTGTTGAACTTCTTGTCTGAAATGGTATAGGGTTTCCTGCCTAAGCCGGGGGTTGGACTAGAAGACCTCTAAGGTCCCTTCTGACTCTTATTCTATTCTGTTTGATTCTATTCTATTCTTTTATTTGATTCTATTCTATTCTTCTATTCTATTTGATTCTATTCTATTCTAATTCTTCTATTCTTCTATTTGATTATAATCTAATCGATTCAATTATTCTATTTGATTCTATTCTATTCTTCTATTTGATTCTATTCTATTCTTCTGTTCTATTCTTCTATTTGATTCTATTCTATTCTTCTGTTCTATTCTATTCTATTTGATTCTATTTTATTCTGTTCTATTCTGTTTGATTCTATTCTAATTCTTCTATTCTATTCTTCTATTTGATTCTAATCTAATTGATTCAATTCTTTATTCATTCAATTCTGTTTGATTCTATTCTGTTATTCTATTCTATTCTAATCTATACTATACTAATACTATTACTAATACTATAATATTAACTATAGTAACAATATAACTACTGAACTATAACTACTGAACCAGTAGGTATATCTTTTATTTTGATTTTATTTGTCATGTTTTGCAATCGCCCGTCTCCCTCACAGAAGGACTCTGGTGGGCGCTGTACAATACAATATTAAAACATAAAAACAGTCTATAAAATTTAAAACTGATGGGACGTGTGTGGAGAGGTTTTAGGTCAAATAGACTAGCTTATAGCCTTCATCCCTTCTTATAGTGGTCCTTCCTTCTTCTTCTCGTTCACAGTATTGCAATGGTGGAGACCTAGCCGATTACTTGCAAGGTAAGAGTTCTTGTCCTTAACCTGCATCCTCGCATGCTCAAGTGGCATCGCAGTCCCCTTTTCTTGCTTGTTTCTAGCTGAGAGTAGGGAAAGGTAACAGTGCTGTTGGTGGTTGTAGAACCCTCATCCCAGATGACCGATCAAAGAGAATATTTGTAGGTAGAGTTGAACTGTGGGGCCCTTGGGACTCTTTGAGCCTGGTGGTTTGTTTGCAGACATTTCATGACCCCCACTAGGTAACATCATCAGTGCTAGATGGGAGCGGGGGGGGGGGTGTTGCTTTCTGTTTAGGCTTGCCTTGTCAAGCGTTTGTTGGGAGTGTTTTGGTGGTTCCTTGGTTAGGCTGTGGTTTATTGTTTGTTTGTCTTGAATTAGTAATTCCTTGAGTGGGGTAAACAGAGAGCCAAAACCCCCCCCTCTCAGTCCCTCTACTCATATGGTACAATAAGCAACCAAATCGTACTAGGAAACAGTCAATATAAATCGTAAGGATACAAGCGACAAAGTTAGTCATACAGTCACAAATGGGAGGGGATGGGTGATAAGGTGCGATGAGAAGCTTAATAGCAATAGTAGTGCAGACTTTGTAAATAGTTGGACAGTGTTGAGGGAATTATTTGTTTAGCAGTGTGATGGCGTTCGGGGAAAAACTGTCCTTGTGTCTAGTTGTTCCGGTTCTGCAGTGCTCTATAGCGTCGTTTTGAGGGAAGGAGTTGAAACCGTTTATGTCCGGGATGTGAGGGGTCTGTAAATATTTTCACAGCCTTCTTTTTGACTCGTGCAGTATACAGGTCCTCCATGGAAGGCAGGTGGGTAGTAATTGTTTTTTCTGCCGCCGTAGTTACCCTCTGAAGTCTGTGTCTGTCCTGTTGGGTTGCAGAACCAAACCAGACAGTTATAGAGGTGCAGATGACAGACTCAATAACTTAACAAACTTCTCACTTAACAACGTCAATTGTGGGCTCAATTGTGGTCATAAGTCGAGGGCTACTTGTAGTTGGGCCTGAGAGATAGCTGCCCTTGTTTTGATTTCCTGGTTCTGGACCTTTCCTGTTAAGATCTGGAGCAGGAGGGATCCTATTTCTGGAAAAGCGTCTTTTTTTTTTTTTTTTTACCTCTAGAGGATTTAGAGACTAAGGAGAAAATAGTTTTTAAGGGTCCAGTAAGCTGTAAAGTTCAGGCAAGCTATTTTGGGACTTCGAGCATCATTGCACAGCTGTTGTGGGAAAGTGTGAGAGATGTTTTGTGCCCTTCAGAAGCCAGCGTGGCCTTCTGGGACACGGAGAAGCAAGGTGTCAGGCTACGAAATTCTGGCCCGATACAGGTAGTCCTCGACTTAAGACCACAACTGAGCCCAAAATTCCTGGTTGCTAAGGGAAACCTTTAATCGAGTGGATTTTGCCCCATTTCACGACCTTTCAAGTTGTGAAGTGAATCCCTGCCATTGTTAAGTTAGTAAAACACGAGGGTTAAAAGAAACCGGCTTTCTTGGTTGACTTTGCTGGTCAGAAGATCGCCAAAAAAAAGGGATCACAGGATCCCGAGACACAGCAGAGGTCATAAATATGAGCCAGTTGCCAAATGTCTGAATTTTTTAGGGATGCTGGGGTGGGATTCAAAAATCCCAACAACCAGTTCTCTGCCCGGTTTCTGGGTGGGCGTGGTCATGGTGGAGGTGGGCGTGGCTATGGTGGGCGTGGCCTACTGGAACTTCTGGGAGGGCTGTTTTCGCCTTCCCCAGAGTCCGGAGGCTTCCCTCAGGCCTCTGGGAGGGAGAA